GAGCTGCAGTATGTCAAAATTTGCAGATAAATGAATTTAAGGAAATTTTTAAATCTCTTGCTCTTTGTTGGCATTACTCATAGGGGAAAAAAACCCAGTATAGTACTTAAATAAAGCAGCCCATGCCAAAGCTGGCACCTACCAATGTTTGAAATATTGTTTAGCCTCGCTGTCTCAGTGCGATTTCACCCATTGCTTTGTATTTCAGAAGTTTCATTTAAAAAACCATACTTTTTTCCCCAAAAAGTTTTATTTTCTTCAAAATACTATGATTTTGTGATAGGAAAAAAACTTCTATATGAGCAATCTAAGAATAATATGTGACAGGTTTTCTTTTCTGAAAACTGGTAACTGATGCAAGTCTTTTTCTGATGTCTATACCATTACTGTTTTGGTATTTACAGTTAAATTGTGCCCACTTTTTCCTTCTGATTTGCAAGTGTTTACTTTTGTTAGGAAGTCAGTATCTGATAAAGGTATGCTAATATTCTTGGACATGAAAGCCTTAAAATTATTATTGACATTGGACATTTGAGCTCCTTTTCCCCCGGCATCCACACCCTGTTGACTGAATGAAACCTTTGTAACAGAAATACCCTTGGTGCTCGCCTGAGTATTGCCTAAGTATTCGCAGGAGTACCTGGGTCAGAAACATTCCCGAATGTTTGGAAAACTCTTGGTATATTGGACTTGAGAGAAAGGCAAGCTCTGTTAAGGAGGAGGGAAAAATACGCAAATAAAACAGGCACACCGAGAGGTGCTGCGGTGGAGCGATGGCTGCAACACCGATGCCAAGAGTACCTCAACCAGGGATGTGCTGGCTCACATGGCAGTGTGCTCAGTCTAGACTGGGTGTGAGAGACTGTGATTGCTCCAAGCGTGATGTCTGCTGTTATCATCCGGAAGGTGATGGTATTATACAGGCATGCAGGACTGACCATAAGTTAGGAAACACTGGTCCTTAACAGATGCGGAAGACTGAATACCAGGGATGCAAAAATGCAAAGATTGGCTGATAGTGTGCAATAGCAGCAAAGGGAACCAAGGCTGAGACTTTGTAGAAGGCAAATCGTGAAGTAAAAAATGCCACAAAAATGATCCGAGGGATGGAACACCTCTGCTATGAGGACAGGCTGAGAGAGTTGGGGTTGTTCAGCCTGGAGAAGAGAAGGCTCCAGGGAGACCTTACTGCAGCCTTCCAGTACTAAAGAGGGCCTGTAAGAAAGATGGGGACAGACGTTTTAGCAGGGCCTACAGCAATAGGACAAGGGGTAATGGTTTTAAACTAAAAGAGTTAGACTAGATCTAGGGAAGAAATTTTTCACACTGAGGGTGGTGAAGCAGTGGCACAGGTTGCCCAGAGAGGTGGCAGATGCCCCATCCCTGGAAACATTCCAGGTCAGGTTGGACGGGGCTCTGAGCAACCTGGTCGAGTTGAAGATGTCCCTGCTCACTGCAGGGGGGTTGGACTAGATGGCCTTTAAACGTCCCTTCCAACCCAAACTATTCTAGGATTCTATGATTCTAAGTACCTCTAAACCCTTCAATTGTGTTTCTCACTGCCGTCCTTGGCAGTCAAAGTCAATGCAGGCCACTGAAGGATTTCATCCTCTCCGAGCCCTGTGGTGCCACACTGCAACCAACCTTGTGCAGCTAGAGAAAAAAATGTTCTCTTCAGCTTGGGGACACCTTGAGAACTACACCCCAGAGCACTGCAGCAAAAACATTGCGGAACTACCCCAAAGGAATGGAAAGTTATGGCAGATGTTAAGTTTGCTGTTATTACCAGATAAGATTTAAAGATAAACAAATGCATCCAGCTGAAAGCCTAGATTCACAATAACAGAGCAAAGTTAGGAAAAGACAAAACAACATGTATACATTTATTAAGGTCATACTTAGCAATATATGTCCTCCTTAGCTGCTCCTGTGTCTCAGCTTTTGACTCTTGCTAATTATTTTCTGCATAGAACCCTGGGCTGACGTGCCCCTGGGTACACAGAGTTGCTTACACCTTGCCTTCTTCTTCTGGGGTGGGTGATGCGGTGGGGACCTGCATCTGCTCCAGCTCAAGGTGGATTTCTTCCTGTTTGTCTGGCCCTCATTCCCTGGCATTGGGCCATCAAGTGTTTTCTGGGAGGTTTCAGTATTTCATTCTGTCCCTCCTCCTTAAGGTTACTTCGGTAATGTTTCTGTTGTCCATCTCAAATAACACTTTCTTGGCTTTTGTTTTTCACTAATTATAGTCTTGTTTAAATACAGTGGCATCACTTTACAAATGATGCATTATGATAAATAGTTCAAGTTCCTTTTAAAGTATATACTGGGCATACAGGCTATATAGCAAGCATGTTTATGACATTCAAACACAAGTTGATCTTGAGCATAGGACTGTCAGATCTGCAAAAGCTCCACCTCATCCTTTGTTAGATTCTGGGGACTCATCTGCATGTTACTGGTTTTTGGTGAACTTGAACAGAGATTACCAAAGGCTTCACACATATTCAGGCCAGCTTGCTTTCCTTCCCAGCCCTCGTTTCCAGCATTGGCTATAAATAGCCACACACACACACAACAAGTGGTTGCCATTTAAAAATCCACATTTTCTAACAGAGCCCATAGTACAGCATTTTTTGCAGTATCTTGCTCAGGGAGTGGGACAAATACGTTGTGGCATCGTCGATATCACTGCGAGATAATGCTTGGCAAATGCTGGAGTTTGCTTATTTTAAGTATTGGCTATCTATATAGAATATTAAATTAAAATTGTCTTGTTTCCCATTATAGTTTGTCATCGGTCAGGTAATGAGAATGAGACCATTGAACAAATCGATGAAGATATAGCCGTGACTCAGAGTCAGATGAACTTTATTTGTCCCATTACACAGGTATGCTATCACTGCTACTAGAATTGATTGGGCAATGGTTATTTCATATTCTTCATTGGATTGTTCATTACAAATCTGCAACACTTGTTAAAAATCAGGCAGTATAAATTACAAACATTATCAAAAAAGAGCAACATTGCTTGGGAAACGCCCCCCATCAGTAGAAATGCAGTTTACCATGCAGGACCTGACCCTGTAATTTCAGTGGGGTGAAATGTATGAATGGCAAAAACACACTTCCCGCTGTTTTACATAAAATCTCATAAGAAGCATTTTCATGGGCATTATCAGTTCCTTTAAATCGAACATTATTGATTACAGGTGGAAATGAAGAGACCAGTTCGAAACAAAATCTGTGGACACACCTATGAAGAAGACGCCATTCTAAAAATTATCCAGACTCGAAAGCAGCAAAAGAAAAAAGTCCGGTAAGCTAACAAGAATGTGTGGAAAAGCTATTTGCTTTGCTGTGTAAGTGGAATTTTACTCCACTTGTTCTAGGAAATGTGTTTGGATTGGCAAGGCTGCAGGAAGTAATACTTCAGTGTCTGCCCAAGTCACAGTCTCCTCATTAGGACTGTACACGTGAAGGAGCTTTTCTTTTTAATTAAAACAATGTGTAAGGAAATATTCAGGAAGTCTGTGGGGAAGTTACAGCTACTCATGGTACCTGCACAACAAGAGAAGCAAAGAGTTTTCCTATAGCTATGAACAACAAAAAGAAACCTCAGCTTCCTAAAATGTAGTTGCTCATTTTGTTCCCACTGCTTATTTAGCAAGCCCTGAAGTTAATGAAAAAAAAAATCTCCTCTGTGCACCCTCTTCTGCAGTTATATTCCAATACAACTGCAAAATACTGAAACACTTAAATGAGTGTTAAAGTGAAAAATATTAAAACACAACATTTTAGGTAGTACAGAGTTTAAAAATGATCAGACAGGATTGTGCAGTTCCTACTACAATGCAATTCAAGAATTCTTACTTTATATCATCAAAGCAGCCTGCCACTTTCCACACAGGACATATTTTTTTGAATTAAAAGAGTAACAGTTGAATTTTCAAACCTGAAATTCTCCCTGGTAAGTTTCAAATTTGGTATGTTTTCATTTAAAAAATAAAAAAAAAAAAGGGGGGCTCAGACACTTTAGAGCAAGTTTAGAGGACATATCATGTCATATCATATCATCATTAATTTCACATTTGTTTTTACACCATATATGCCACAGTCTCATGCTTTGGTGTTGATGACCTCATGAAAACTTACCAGTTGAGGGCTTTTTAATAAATGTGCAGTTTGGACATGCTTAGGAAGGTCTGCCAGAGACTAGCAACCTGATTTCCTCAAAGATAATGCCACAGGCAGCTTGCTTCAGCGTACTTCCTCCGTCCGTTGCTCTTGCATTCCTGTTAGACCTCCCGCCATGGGGGATACAGAGGTGGAGCAGGACTTTTTATTCCATGCTCCTTCCTGGCCACAGGAAAGCACTGCTATGAAATCAAGCATCGGTTGGGATGTCCAGCCACTACCTTAATGTCAAGACAGCTTGAAGACCAAGATGGAAGCACCTTGCCTGTGTTATGAGGTCTAGGGAGAAAAAGTGGAGTTGGTGCAATATCCTGGGAATAACAACAAAACCAGCAACATGGATGGACAGAAACTTGGCTGGAAAAATGGACGGGGAAATAACTCACAAGTTGGAAAGAAGAGAGTGAATGTTCTGGAGGATAGGGACAGGCTAGGAAGCAACAACCCAACACCAAAACAAAAATACTGTCTGCAATACTGAACCTAGGATGTTCATATCTAAATATTTCTTATATTGTTAAATCCATCAGGAAAATGTCATGATAGTAAAGATTGTTGTGGTGGATCAGAAGTGTCAGCACTGCTGAAAATCTAATAGGGTCACATGATTGAATTTTATTTTACCTTTTAAGAAATTAAAGGCTTGGGGAAATTCTAGAGTAAAAAAAAATATCACATAAGCTATACAACACCTAGCTTTAAAAGCTACCTTGTACCCAAACCAAACTTATTTGTGCAGTCTGAATACCGGCAGTTCTTAATTTTGAGCTTTTAGCTTGCAACCTTAGCATTTTTACAGCAGTTATACCAGTATGCTCGAAAAGCACACACACAGCAACAACTTGGCTTCACTGTAATGAAATTAAGAAAGACTATTTGGTTTTGCCTGCCCAATCTCACTGACCTGCTATAATTTTAATGTTTCTCGTGAAAACACAGTCAGCTTTGAAAAACCATAGTCTGCTGTGGTGGGAAGCCAGGCCAGCTGATGCAGCAGGTTTCCCAGTTCCCCATTTGAGTACCCCGTTCTCGTGGTGTTGCTACTTAAAGGGGGCTTATAAGAAAAATGGGGACAAACTTCTTAGCAAGGCCTTGTTGCAATAGGACAAGGCGTAATGGTTTTAAACTAGAAGAGGGCAGATTTAGACTAGAGATAAGGAAGACATTTTTCACAATGAGGGCGGTGAAACCCTGGCACAGGTTGCCCAGAGAGGTGGTAGATGCCCCATCCCTGGGAACATTCCAGGTCAGGTTGGATGGGGCTCTGAGCAACCTGATCTTGTTGAAGATGTCCCTGCTCATGGCAGGGGGGTTGGACTAGATGACCTTAAAATGTCCCTTCCAACCCAAACTATTTATGATTCTACTTGACTGCGTTCCTGCCAGCAATATTCGAGTGCAAGCAGGTGCCTTGATAGAGCAGGGTTGTGGTTAAGGGGATCCTCTCTGTCCTGACTCTGAAATCAAAGCTGTTGCTCACTCTGGAATTACAGAAGTGGCTGTTTCCTCACGCGTACTTTCCAGTTTGAATCCACGGGATCCCTTTGGTGCACTTGGCAGCGCACTCGCTGAATGTCAGCTCTTCAGCTGACGTACGCACAGCCGCTGGTTTTGTGCTGATAGACTTGCCATGGACTCCTCTAGGCAACTCTTACGTGTCTTGGTTTGCTCACTATTTTCCACTGCCTGGAAGGACATACTAATACTTTATGCTTACAGGAAATGTGAGAAGCTTTCTGAGCACTTGTTATTCATTAATCTGGCAAACTATTGCTCTAATAAGGTGATAAATGGGAAAACTGAGGCACAGAGCAATTAAGTGACTTATCCATGACAAACACAGTAAGCTGTGGACAAATCTGGAGTAAAAGCTATGAGTACTGAGTGTAAATAAGTTCAGCACCTCAGACAAAAGTTACTCCTAAGAGAGGAAATATTCAGGAAAAGTGTTATTTCTGACTGCAGGTACAATCTGTGCATGTTTGGGCCACTGCCAAAGGAAAATGAGCTTTGGTCCCTGAAAATCTCTCACCCTGCTGTCTTTATCTGGCTGTTTCAAGTAGTTGTAAGACATTTTGTATTTCATTATCCTTTAGAGGCTGTTAATTTGACCCCATCTCTCTTTTCTGTGCTTTCTCAGTTCACAAAAGGCCAGGTATATTTTTACACCAACTAGATAGCCCACTGATTCACCAGGCAGCCTTTGCAAGTCTTATCCTCTTTTATATAATTCCCTAGAAATTAATTTCCCTATTTATCTATCAGTGAAGATTATACTTCTCCACTGCAGATTAATAAGGTAAGAGGTAGTAGTTTGTAGGGGACTGCAAAGAGAGAAAGCAGCACACAAAGATGTCCATGCAATGCTAGTATCATTACTGATGCAGGCAGCTTGTGTACATGAAGCAAGAGAGTGATCTACAGGTTGGAGGCTCCGTCTCTCACTGTGTTCCTTCCTTCCTTCAGCTGTTGATTCCCACCAGTTTAGATAAATGGATTTATTTTTCCCCACAGAGAGCTGGTGAAGAGGAAAGGAGGTGATGAGGAACTGACAGAGAGAGTGAATCCCAGATAAATACAATAAACTAGCAGATGTTATGTAAAAGCCAATATCTGACAAATACAAGTCTTCCGATTTAATGGAGTTTCTTTTTTCTTTTTAACAGATGCCCTAAAATTGGCTGTAGCCATGCTGATGTAAAAGGATCAGATCTTGTGCCAGATGAAGCACTTAAAAGAGCGATTGACAGTCAGAATAAACAAAGATGGTCAACACTGGAGAAGTCAGCTGGATATGCTGCTACCACAAAGAAAATTTGTTGTTAGAGGTCTTGTGAGATAAGCTACTGATTGTAAGTAGGTTGTGTAACTGATTGTTATTTAAAGTGTTTCATTTATAGGCAAAGTTGAAGGTCTCAGCTGTAACCGAAAGCATTTTTTAAACTGCCAAGTATGAGGAATTCCGGTTTAACTTGTTTTTTTTTTTTTTTAATCTTCCTGAAATTCTAAAAGCTTGCATTTGATAAATAAAACATGTTTTGCAGCATTTAACCTTCTTTGTCGCTGTGCTAATTTTTTCAGCATATTAGAGATGCAGATTCTGCCAGCAAAGCAAGTGCTTTGCTCAATATCGCAGATAGTTCTGTTACTGTCTTTTTAACTGCTGGGAGTGCTCAGAGTAGGGCACTCTGACCAAGGATTTACCCAAGTCATACACTCTGCTTGGGAGCACGTCCATGTTTTCATACAAACCTCAGGAAATCTTAATAGAGCGTGATTTGCAGGAAGTGCTGTACATCTATACCTTGCGTGTGGACACACAAAATTACCACTCAGCTTTGAGGATCTTGGCCTTGTTCTTATAATTTTTGAACACTCTGCCCTAACTTAGGCTTTTCTTTTGAGGTTCAGAAGCTTTTATTTCAGGCTTTTTCATTTGGAAGTCCCAGAGGGTTTTACCTTAATACCATAGGTTAGGAGACTACAATTATTTACAAATGTATTCCAATAACTACTTTGTAGATACTAGAAATATATTGTAACCATATGCCTTGAATTGAAAAGCAGTTAATCACATTTTATATAAGCTTCAGGTATCGATGCATTTTGGCATCGATCCCAAAAAGGACCTAAACTTTGTGACACTCCATATTTATTACCTAAGTTGATCTGAACACATCTAGCAGATAAGGTACTAACATATATGAATTAGAAATAGCAGTAGGTAAAAGGAGCTGCCTTGGTGGTCAGATGGATATTTTCTCTTGGCATATGTGAAGCAGAAAATACAGGTTTCTTTGAGCTTTGGGATCCTTAGCAGGTCAGATGGTATTTTCCTAGGTCATTTTTCTGAATTTACAATCTGACATTTAGTGTAAAATGTAACTAAGGTACCTAAACGCTAAGCTTTTCACTCTGGGTTACTGTTTGCTAACAGCTTTCCTTTCGTAGACCATTATTAACCCCAATGGCACTTCAGAGTGCAAAGCACTTCAAACTGAAATTCTTATTTTGTAACTGAAGAATATTAATCTGCAAGCTGATTTCATAGCTAAAAAAGGGAACTAAACCATTATTATTTGCACTGAGCTTTTGTGTTTAAAACATTTTATGGGAATTAGCTGGGTAGTTTTCACAATGTGGTCTAACCCCAAAGAAAGTCTGTGGAAGCCCAGCTGAAATAGCTGAAAGGGCTGGGGGGCTGTTGAGCAGTATGTACTTGTTTGTATTTTTATGTGTAAAAATCAGGTCCCTTTTAAGACGTCTCAGGTCTTAAACCTATAGTTTTTAAGATGGGTCACTGATTTTCAGTTAAATACCACAAGAGAGGATGTTAACTATAGCATTTGTAATAATTAAAAAAAAAGAGGGGGTGGAATGTCCTAAACTCTTCATAGCTTTTTGTTTCGTCTTTAAGGTTGTGGTTAAGTTTACTCTGGTGCCATTTATAAGCAGAACACTCACAAGCAGAAACTTGCATTGGTTAAACAATCTCTGCAGTTTCTTACAGAGGTGCATTAACGTTGTCCTCATGGATCTAATTCAATCCCTAGCGATAATCAGGCTCCCAAGTTTTCAGATGCAAAGATGTATATATATTTTCCGTGGCTGCAGTGTCGCACCTCAAATTTAGTTTGTGTAGGTGTCTGGATGCTCAAGTGTGCCTTTCAATAACACGTAACATTATAAATACTAAATTATACCCAGATTAATTCGTACCAACAAACTGGTGGCAGCAGGTTTGGTTTGCTACCTGTGGTGTTTGTACCAGTATACCCGTAGATATCTCCAGTTCCTGATATGGTCATTACTCTCATGCTCCAGTGAGTAATGGTAGAAGGAAGATTGCTGTCTTGGTTACACCTTGTTGTTGTACCTTAAAGAGAGAGGCTTGACCCATAGCAGTGGTGCTGGCCCTAGTGGAAGCTGCACTCAGTCTGTCTCCGCGTTAGCTAATCCACAGGTAATAATGTGAACTGTCTGCTTAAGATGATGCATCTGGGAGAAAAAAAAAACCAACAAATCTGAAGCAACACTTTAAATGAAGAGAACAAATAGTCAAGCACTCACTTATTGCCACTCTAAGTGGAAAGGTATTTTTGAATGTTCACATTCCTGCCTGAAAATGCATGATCTTCCTTCTGTCCTTTGCTAGCCTGAGCCAGGCAGCATCAGTGAATCAGAGCGCCCGACCGGCATATGCAGGTGCAGCCTAAATTCTGAAATCCTTCTGAGTCTTCAGCTGAAAGAAATGGACTGATTTTTGTCAGCACTTACCTGCTCAGATTTAATAACAATCACATGTAAGGTGAAGAGGCATGTGTATTTAAGTAAAGGTAAATTTACCTTACCTTAAATTTAAAGATAAATTTTTTATCGTCAGAGATACCTCTTTTCAAGTATGGCCACAGCCATATTATCCAGAAAAAGACAAATACTCATGCATTTTGTCAGGATTGCTGATGAGAGTACTCGAATCCCATCAAAATCAGTGATGCGCTGCATGGATTCAACTGCTAGAGAAAACTGCCTGTATTTACTGAAATCAATTAAGTTCTCCTCAAAATGTTTGGCATTTCTGAATTTAAACTATATCACAACATAACATCCAAGGAGTGCTAGTATGATGAATGAATTTTTTTTTTCTCTGAACCTGGAATTTGAGCCATCCTGTTGATTTTTCATGGCTGGTTCTCCCTTATTGTCGGTTCTTACAAGCAATTTTCCTTCTGAAATTGAAAGATTACAGTGCTCGGTCATCAGCATGAATTGCAGCTGCCACTTTACTAGGTGGAAGGACAGAGTAGTCTTGGCAATTGGGGAAGGCTTCTGTGCCTGTCAACTGGCCTGATGGAAGTTAGAAACTGCTACTCGTTCACTGGGGTGGCTGTTGTTACCGGCAGCTCTTTGCTCTTCCATTTGCAAAGTTTGGGGTTTGTTACGCAGTTGTGACCTCTCCGTTCCCATGAGTCCCATGTCCCCCGTAAACTCTGCTCTGGATAGAAGTAGCTTGAAAGAGTTAAAGAATAAAAATAAGTGTGTGTGATGAATAAGCTGATCTGTATGATTCACAGAAGTGGAAACTCAACAGCAGTTAAACCTTGAAATCTTAATCTGTTTGGCTATAAGATATCGTAGGTAAACAGGCATATGTTAACAGTTCACAGGGTAATTTGTGTCTCATTGCTTGACGTCAGAAATTTTGCAACAATATTTAAGGAAAGAAACTCAGAGGTGAGATGTTTTTCTTCTTTTCCATAAGGGGTGCTTTACACATGCAGCAAACTGCAATGTAGCTGATAAGGGTCTGTCACTAAAACCTGGTGAGAATCTGCCTCTGCCAGAGAACAGAAGTTCCACATAATATTTTGAGTGATTAAATAAACGTCAAATCAAACATTAAAATAAAGGCAAGAGAGATCTATATGCAGCAGCTTTCAGTGGTACCCCAAGGCATGAGCCATTAGCACTGCTCTCTCACTTGAACAGATTCTCCCTGTGAAGCAGAATTCTCCATTTTACAACTGGAGACTCTGAAGTTTTCAAATCAGTGGAGCCATGATGTGTAAAGATAAAAACTAATCAGGCAGGCATCTCATGGAAGATTTAGCACACTTGTGCTAAAAGGAGCGCACATTCCTCTGAATCAAGGACATATTCATCATTACTGCTCAGGAGCTGTGATCTTATTCATTCTAGAAGAATCAGAAAGACTAGGCTAAGTCAGTGCTCCCTTGAGAAATACCCGGAGCAAAAGCAGGGGCTGCAGGAAGTGATACCGATGACTCAACAGCCAAGGCCAACACACTGCCTTATTTCAGACAATGTCCTCTTGGACGTACTCATGTTTCCTCATGAGTGGCTGATGACAAAGGTCTTACCTACCTGTGGTCACAAGTACCTCATGACATTTTTCTCAAGAATAGCTCTAGTATTGTGGCCAAAACTAGCTTAGAATTCACTGTGCAACCTGATTAACTTCCACTGCTGTTTCAAGTGAATGTTAATCTCTACCTTCTCTAAAAATCTCCATGTATGGATCCTGAGGTACTGTGTGGTCCATTAACTGAACATTTCCGTAATGGATAGTGCTCTGTCATACAGTGAAGAAGACGCACCTAGGAAGGGGGCTTCTTGGAGTGGAAAACGTCAGAATATCCCAAGGACACATCTTCCTTTCTCTTGCTACGGCCAAAGCCTTAAGCTGCTGGCTCCTCACTACAAGTACAAACTAGTACTGAGTGCAAATTCCAAGTCTTCCATAAATAATGATTTATTTTCTGGTCATAAAGTACTTACTGTATAATAACATGTATTATGTCAAACACACAGCATGGTCACAGCAATGCTCAGAGGAGAATCCTATGTGTAGGTGCCAGCAGGTTCTACTCTGCCAGCCAGTAACTGTAAGAAGTAGATTAGATTGATTGTTAAGCAAGTAAAATTCTGGGATGCGTGTACATCGTACAGTAGATACCCACGTATGTGCTTAGCCTCTTGGTGCAAGAGTAATACCAGCAACTTCACAGGACTGCAGCAACGTACAGAAAACAGAGTGTTTTGGCATTTCAAAATGCTGCAGAAGATGCTGCAGTGGGCTGAGAAGAGAGTGCCTGCCTCACTCGCTTATTCTGATGTTAGTCCAGACCCAAAGACAGAGCCTGAAAGCACGCACATGAATTGAATTGCATGGGAAGCTTACCAAAGGAAGTGTTTGCTTGTAAACTCAGTATGAATAGGATCTCCTCTGACCGCAAGGGAAATGGAGAGACACTCATTCACTGCCCGCTTGTGCAATCAACTTCTGAAGTAAAAACAGGATTTGA